AATCTTTTTCCTTGAATCGGAGGGTACTACCTTTATGGTGAGAGTGTTCGAGGTATTCTCGGATCATAAGAGTTTGAAGTATCTGTTTACACAGAGAGACTCTGAATCATGAGGCAGAGGAGATGGATGAGTTCATCGAGGATTATGATTTTGGTTCACTATCATCCGGGAAAAGGCCAAGTTTGGCCGATGCCTTGAGTAGGAAGACCATTAGTCATGTAGCTTGTATAGCCATTCGGGAAATGGGAGATGTTGGGAGCACTGGCGAGTTTGATTTGCTACTGGTGCGAATCTGTTGAGGCTGCGACCTTGTTCTGTTGTTGCGCGCCTACATTGTGATTAGAGTGTTAGAAGCACCAGAAGAGGTGAACCTTGAGGTAGAATCCCTCCCGAGAGAAGATCTCCAGTGGAAGTTTGAGAAGGGTTGACGTTATCCCGACTCTGAGTGTGAGAAATACCGAGACCGTTTGTTGTACCGGAGTCTTGCCGTGAGGAAGTACTCCGAGAGTTTCATCATTCGCGCCTTGCGGTGCATCCGGGAGGTAACTAAAGATGTATCAGATTTGGGTTCGCCAGTTTGGTGGCGGGTATGAAGAGAGATGTGGCTATGTTTTCGTATCGAAGTGCCTTACTGCCAGCAAGTGAAGGCCGAGCATCAGAGGCCAGCGGGTTTGTTTGCAACCCTTGCCTATTGTTCGAGATGGAAGTGGGAGCATGTCACTATGGACTTCGTTGTAAGGTCTTCCGAGGACTCAACGCGAGGTTAGTGATGCTATTTGGGTGGTTGTAGAACCGGTTGACTAAGTCGGCGCACTTCATTCTATGCGCGTGAGAGATTCGGTAGATCATCTAGCCGATTGTATATTCGGGAAGTAGTGAGATTGCACGGGATCCCAGTGACGGATCGTTCAGATCAGAGATCCTCGTTTACTGCTAGGTTGGGAAGAGTTTGCAGAGTGCCCTGGGCACTAAAGTTGAAACCTTTAGTACGGTTATCATCCGAGACTGACGGGCAGTCCGAGCGTACTATTCAGATCCTCGAGGATATGCTTTCGGGGTTTGTGTCCTGGACTGTCAGTGGGACGTGGGGAGAGGCAACTTTGCCTTGTAGAGTTTGCCTACAACAACGTTTGCAGTCTAGCATCGGTATGGCACCGTTGAGGCGTTGTATGGCCGACCGTGTAGGGTCTCCGAGTTTTTTGGGCCCGAGGTGGGTGATGCGACCTTTGTGTGGTCCGGAAGTGGTTAGAGAGACGATGGAGAAGTTGAGCTTATCCGTGGAGCTTGTTTACAGCCCAGAGTCCGACAAAAAGAGTTATGGTCCGACCGTAGGAGGAGACCTTTGGCGTTTGAGGTTGGTATCATGTCTTTCTTGAGATATACCTAGGCGAGGCTTGATGAGATTTGGGAAGAGTGGGAAGTTATTCCCTCAGGTTTTATTGTCCTTTTGAGATTCTTGAGAGGATTGGCGAGGTTGCTTATCGGTTAGCCTTACCGCCGCAGTTGTCCGGAGTGCATGACGTGTTTCATGTGAGTATGCTTCGGAAGTATAAGCCAGATCCATCACATGTGTTGGATTGGACGCGATTTAGAGGTAGATGAGGATGCCTCGTATGAGGAGAGACCGGTTCGGGTCTTGGATAGGCGGGATCAGGTCCTGCGTGGCCAAGACCATTCCTTTGGTGAAAGTCTTGTTGGAAACATCACGGAGTGGAGGAAGCCACTTGGGAACGTGAGTTGGAAGTCCGAGAGAAATATCCGGACTTGCTTGTTGATATGTAATCTTGTAATTAAATTTTTGTTGAACTTAAGAGCCTTTATATAATATGCCTTAAGTTTGTGAAACATTGAAAATGTTTTGGTTATTGGAAGTATGTTTTGGAACTTGCCTCATATGGAAGTTGAATGTAACATTGTATATGTTGAATATATTGTTGAAATTGGAAGAAATGCTAATGTTGATGGCATGTTGAAAAGTACATATGTTGTTTACATATTGTGAGATGCCTCTTGTAAATGGAGGGGGTGACCGTATGGTCCAATTGTTGAATGTTAGTATAACATTGTTTTAAAATGGAGAAAACTTGTTTTTGCAAACCTGTGCTTAATTTTGGGACGAAATTCTTTAAGGGGGGGAGGTTATAGCTTCCGGGTTTACCCTTGTTGTACAGTGATCCGACATGTGTCCGTGGATGTTGGTAGTTGTTTATTATCTAGTTTCATCCTCTTTACTTTGTTTATTGAGTTATAGGATGTGTTGCGCAGGTTTGTTACAGGTTGGTTGTGTTTGGGAGCCTAGTGTTGCTGCCCAGATTTTTTGGACCTTCGCTCCGAGCGCAGGAGTTGGTCGCTCGAGCGAGAGTTGAGTCGTGTCTGGTGGATCGAGCCAGAGTGGCTTTGCTCGAGCGAGTGATGGCGTCTTGGTTCTGGACCTGAGAGTTGTATTTCTCTGGCTCGAGCGAGCTTTTCTTGGCTCGAGCGGTCTGGTTTGTTCTTCGCTCGAGCGAGAGGTCTGTCGCTCGAGCGTGCTTCTGGTTGCAGACCTGAGGGTTTGAGTTTGTTGGCTCGAGCGAGCATTCTTTCGCTCGAGCGCACTTTTGAGTTTTTGGCTCGAGCGAGAGCTTCTTGGCTCGAGCGTAGTTTTCTGTGTTTCTGGTCGCTCGAGCGACCAAGTCTTCGCTCGAGCGAGCGTGTTTTATATCAGCGGACAGTAGCGTTTTTGAACATCACTTTTTCACTTTCTTTTTTGATCAAACCATAGATTCGGAGACCCTCTCTCTCTAAACTTAAACATGCTCTCTCACTCTCTCTCTAAGAATCGATCTCCCTAGAGTGTGAATCTAGCCTAGGGCCTTTGTTAAACAGATAGAGGGCGTTGAGAGCTTGTTTTAATCTGAAAATTGGGATTTGGACACGTTGATTTCGAGCTTCATCTCCTTTTGGCCTCAATTGAGGTAGGGATATCCTACTCCTCTCTTGGATTTTGTCTTTAAATTTTAGTATTTTGAGATGTTGGGTTGGTTTGGTAATTTGGTGAAAGTTTGGGGCTTTTTGAATTTTACAAAAGTTGGGGTTTTATTCATAATAAACCTAGATGCATGTTTGGCATAGGAAATGGAATAAATGTTGAATCATTGATGAAAATGGAGACCTAAGGGTTGAAAATGTAATTATGGATAACACCTAATTACATTGTTTGATTAATTGGGAAAATTAATTGTGAGAAATGAGGAAATAAATGTTGGATTGAATATCCATTGTGCATTTATTTCTGTTTAGAAATAACTGCTTTGGGCTATCGGTGGAGGATAGTCGTGATTGTTGTAGACAATGCATGATGATTAGGCAAACGGAAACTAATCAATGGAATGTGTCATGGAATGGACGGTTGATAGAATACATTAACTGTTGTATTGAGTGATGGTATATAGAACCATTGTGTTTGTATACGTTATGTGTAGAGGAGGAGATGGGGGATGTACTCCGCGGTTTAGGGAAAGATAGGGGATGTACCTCTAAACCGGATAGTTTGGGAGAAGATAGGGATGAACTCCGTAGATACAGCTCATATGCTTGTCTAGAGAAGTGAAGATAGAGCTTATATGCTATCTTTTGAGAAGTGTGGATATAGCTTTATGCTATCTGTGAATGTGGGATATAGTTTTATACAATTCTGTTGAGAAGTGGATAGAGCTTACATGTCTATCTGTTGAAAAAGAGAAAATGAAAAGTAACTTGGATCATAAGTCGTATGACATAAATATGTGATTTATGTGAATGTATCAGGGTTGGCCATCTATCAATTGCTAATCTTTTAGTCATTGTTCATGGTTGGTTTAGTGTATTTCTACTGGGCTGTGGCTCACCCTATATGGGAATATCATTTTCAGGTCAGGTAGCATGCCACCTCCAAGGACATAGCTTGGGAGGCTAGAGGCGACATACTTTTGTCGTTTACTTTTTGATGTATTACATGTAATTCAAGCCAAGGGCTTAATTGTGTAATGAGTTAGTACTCTTTTGTTGTAACCAAGTGTTAACTTGGAAAGCTGTAAGCCCATAGGGCATTTGCTTTTTGTTGTTTAACATGTAATACTTATGTATGAAATTCTGATATATGGAAGAAGGAGGAACTTTTACAATCAAATGCATGTCTTATTTGAATGGGGTTTTAATGTTATTATTTTGAGGGCGTTACATAAGTGAAAGTTGCTTTCTTTCTCTTTCTTTCTATGTATGGTGCATGCATGTGTTCTCTATTCTTTTCATTAATTTTCGCAATGGCTAGTCATTGACATGAAGATGTAATCAATATAGATTTTAGTTGTGGAATAGTTTCATGTAATCTGCTTGTTTCAGTACCAAGGTTTAAACTATGGAGGTTCTACCCTGCCTTATGGATGAGAACTCTGCCTTGCGGAGGGAAGAAGAGGTATTGGTGGGATGGGGATAGTGTGGCTGGGGTTGGTTGTGGTTAAGTCTTAGCGTATCATTTTGTTCAATGCATTGAAAATTTTAACATGCCAATTTTATGATGATTGTTAAACTGCTCACTGTACATAATTGGATTTATTTAATTATTCTTTTGATATCTTGTCTTGAGGAATTAACTGCATTATAGCATGTGCTTTGCACACTATAGGGAAGATTGTCTGGAGATACCCTTGCTAGCAGGAGAGTTATTCATTACACGAGGCATAACTTGTTGTTACTGCTCATTAGGTCTTGTATAGTTTAGTTGATTCCATATCGTCACATAGTTGGTACCTTTGGGGGAGATCTTCAAGAGAGCTATTCCTGGATTACGGAATTAATTGAATCTCTGAATGCAATTTTTTTTTGTTTTTTTTTTAATAATTCGAGGTATCTCTCACCCACCTTAGCTCAATTGGACTCGAGTGACCTTATATTTCGAGCCTAAAACTAGTCCCCAAAGGCAACGAAGGTAACAACAGGATTAACCTCCAATGGCCCCTTGGTAAACTGGAACTTGAAACTTTAGAACTTACTCTCCAAACCCTTGGAATTCTCAAAATGTATATTGGGGTTCTCCCAAAATATGTATTGTTAGTGCAATGTATCTAAACCACTTGTTTCCGAACAAAGTGGATGTCCGAACATATATTCTTGCTGTTATTTGTTTAAAACCATTGAATTGTTTTAGATCTTCAGAGTTTTGAAATACAGACCATAAATTACGTTGTTCATAGAAAGACATCCATGTTTGGTGTATTTTTAAAAATCATTTTTTATTTTTTATTTTTTAAAAATTATAAACTAATTTGATAGAAATAAATATAAAAATATATATTTTTTAATTTTTTAAAATTATTTTTGTCTTAAAAAAAGAAAAAAACCATATGTAAGTAATGAATTTTGATTTTTATTTTTATTTTTCTTGACTAAACCATTTTGAAAGATTTTCATAAACAAATTTTGAAAACTCAACTAAGTATTGTGCAGTTTCCATGTGTTTCATTCGGCCAAATTCTATTAAGAGTAATGTTACATAAATTGATAAATCTTATAATAACTTTTATTTATTTATTTATTAATGTGACATTTAATACATTATCAAAGTGAGTCATGTTTCAAAATTTAAATTTTTTTCTTACATGAAAAATCAATTAGTAAATAAAAGTTTATGAATTTGTGTAGTTTTGATCATATTATTGCGTGCATTATTATTCATTTGTTGCTTTCGAATTTCATTTAAAAGTGACAATACTGGACTTAGATGTTTTAAATGATCACATATGTATCAAATTATTATCCCCTGAAGTGACAATATGTTGTATTTGATGACTAACAAAAAAAATGTTGTATTTGATGCTATAGTAGTTAAATTTTTATGTTTTTTTGTAATTAACTTGCTCTTGGAAAAAGTTGCTCTTCCAAATGTAAGGACACGTATCCCTTGAAATATTTTTGAACTTTATGCTTAGCCTTGTGGCCATGCATGTGTATATGGTTCTTTGATTTTTGCAAAACTTAGTTGGTACATATCATTTTTTTATGCTGAAATTCTGTGATGCAGATCAAGTGGATATGCCCAACTGCTCCTACTTGCCTAGTGGCTATACTTGGTGGATTCCCTCGCACTGCATGTAAGATTAAAGCTTAGATTTCTTCCAATTTTGAGATACTGATACACTTATCTAAAGTGCTTTTGTGGTTTCGTATTAGGGTTTGACGTTAGAGAACTTTCAGAAGATAGTCCTGATGTTTTTGAAGGTTTAGACACTTCAGTAGTGCATATTGCAAACTTCTTGTCAACAGAGCCTGCTGATAGTAAGTTTCTGCCTTGTTACTTCATTGATTATAGGCCACTAAATTACTTAATTTCCATGTGTTTAGTTAGTAGTTCATTTATCTATTGTGATAAAAAGTTTCATCAACTATCATGAATAAATTACCACCGTGTTGTTTAAGAATTCTATACTTTTTCATTTATTTATTTATTTTTGTATTAACTCATTTACAGTTAAACTTGGTATCGAGGGTTTTAGTATGGGTGTTGCAACTGCCCTCTACTCTGCAACTTGTTTTGCCCAGGGACAATATGGAAATGGGATCGATTACCCTGTTAACTTGAGGGCTATTGTTGGTCTAAGTGGTTGGCTTCCTGGTTCAAGGTATGAATGCAATATCTTCCTTCTCATTTCCTCTTTGTTCCTCAGTTATATGTATTGTTTTCCTATGTTGAAAATAACCAATTTACCAAATAAAATAAGATTCGTATAAGATGATTCTGAAATATCTCATTTGATAGCTCCCTCTGGCCATATTTGGAATTGTTTTCAAACTAATATTATATTGAGTTCCAAGGTGACCAAAATAGCTAATAAGTTTTGTACAGTGTCATCTCAGGTAGGACTCACTCATTGTTGATTCAAAAATCTTTTCGCAAGTAAAGATGTAATGTGTGCACCTTATAGTGCTCTTCAAAATATTACCATGGTTATTAGTCAACGGCAAGTTTATGCACGACGTTGAGGAACAAGATAAAACGATCACAGGAGGCTGCAAGGCGTGCTGCATCTTTGCCCATTTTGCTCTGTCACGGAATTTGTATGTACATTGCATTTTGGACTCCCTTTTTTTTAAAAAAAAGTTTTCTTAGGAATGATAAAGTTCTTTTCTCACATGTTGTTTGACTTCATGCATATAGCTTTAAACTAGTGCGAACTAGCAAACTGTTGCTCTTAAAATTTGAGTCTTCAATTTGCTATTTTTTTTGGTATTGGGACATCTACTGTAATTACCTGCTTGTTGTTCCTATTCACTGATGATTCATAGTTGGTAGAATTATATACATGAAAATTTTATTCCCGAGGGATCCCTTCTCAAACCTCTCATTGCGAAAAAAAACCTACATGTAGCATTAACAAAAATCCCTTTTTTTAAAAAAACGCATCCGTTTGGCTTAGTTTTTTGGAATTATGGAATTTGAGTTGATAAAAGTTATTGATTTAACTGTTGAAATTTGTGAGTTGAGTTGTTTTAAAAGAGAATATATTGTGTTCTTGTTATGCAAGTTATTTGAAAAACTCATAAACAAACACATAACTCGACAAACCTCTACCACTATTTTTTCAAAAACTCCCACACTCCAAAATTGTTAACCAAAACACAACATAAAACAAAAAAAATTAAAAATATTTAACAAAATATTATTTTATAAAATAAAAATGATTTTTAAATTATTTTAAAAAAATGATTTTTTAAAAAACATACAACACAACAAATATATGAAAATATAGTGCATTTAATTAAAGATAATAAATAAGATATGTAAAATAATAAAATATTTTTACCCCTAAAAAAAAAGTAAAATTAAAGAAAATGAGTAATACAAACATTTTATATTTAGTAGAATAATCAAAATTTCGTTATATTTATTTTCTAATTGATGCAGTGGTCGCGATAGGATAGTAGGTTGAGTTTCAGCGAGAAAATTTTCTGGCACAGTTTTAAGTAGGATGGTCATGGTGGTGAAAAGTTTTTTCTCTGTAACAAAAGAAACAAAATCCTTCTACACAAGCTCCAAGTATATGTATGAAAGGTTTTTTTCATATGTTCATTCTAGGCGGTTTCTGAAATAATTTGTTTTTTTTTATTATTTTTTCATGGTCAGAAATTTCAATTTGAGAGATGCAAAATAATGGTCAAAAGAATTCAAGATACTTTAGTTTTTTTTCAAAGTTTTTATTTTTTTTTTTAAATATAATGTTAATCAAACAGTTTAAAAAACTTTTTTTTATTAATTTCTTTGTATATACTTGTGTTGAAGAACATTAAACTTTCATTCTAATGGAAATATAATGACGTTTATTCCATTCAAATTATGGTCTTGTTGATTCAAAAATAAATAGTAATATAGGTGTGGTATTTATATTCTTTCAAATTGCGCATTTACAAAAAATAATATTGATTATTTTTTTAAATATGTCGAATTCTTTTTTTTTAATCACAGGTTTTTATTAGTTATTAAATCAACACTTAAAAGATGTGATCTAAATGTTTTTTTAATCACACTAAAAAACAAGGTGTTTGAACTTCTAAAATTTTATTTAATTAACACGTTTTAAAAGCTGTTGTGATCTAAAATTTTTAGTTAATCACACTTAAAAGGTGTTGATGTAATAAATTTTTTAATCACATCTTTTAAAAATGTGTGATCTTAAATTGTTTTACATCACACTTAAAAAGGTTGATCATAAAATGTTTTTTTTAATCACACTTAAAAAGAACTGTGATGAAAGCATTTTAATGGGACACTTAAAAAAGTGTGATAAAAAATGACCCTTTTTATTCTACAATTCTCAAAGGTGACCCACACTTTAATAAAAACTTAAAAAAAAGGGTGTGATTTAACAAAAACAAAAACATCCACCACAAAAAAAAAGTTTTTGTTTATTCTTTATCTGTATTTGTCAGTAGTGCACACTTCACTGTTACTCTTTTAAATGAATACCTAAGTTAAATGTTCTTACAAGGTCTAAAAATTTATCCAAGAACATGGGTTCCGGATCGAAAACTTAAACTAAAAAAGATAAAGTTGTAAGGATAAAACAGAGTTTTTAAAACAAGTTTTTCCCAAATCTATTCGCTAACTTTTTGAAAATTCCACAAAACC